GCTGACTCTGTAGGAAACACTCTTTTCTCCTACCTTCTCTGTATATCCTTACTATCTGTCAGTGGCATCTGCACCCCAAGGGCTCTCAGCTGCAGCTCTGCAAGGTCATTTTCCTCTCCATGTTTGATCTAATCCGTCTGTTTCTTCTTCTTCCAGGCACCTAGATTTAGCCCACCCCTTCTTTCTTATAGCCTCGTCTGCAACTGTGGCTTACTTCTCTGAAGGATTGGTTTTCTAGCTCAACTGAAGGTTACAATTAGATACAGCCAGAATGGCTATTTGTTTCAACAATCACCATGTTGGCCTGTCAGTGTCTTAAATTTTATATAATACTGGAGTTACTGATGTTTAATCAGATTAATTTATATAATGTGGATTTTCATCTTTTCAAAAATCAGAAGGTCTGGCCACACTGGGCCCACAATGTCACGGGATAACTGTAGACCAGAGATACACATTGGGACATTCTTGAGGCAGGTTAGGTCTGTCTGGATGGTCACAATCTCCATCTGATTTACCTCAATTTTCACAAGACCTGCAGGCCCTATGAGAGACTTAAGTTTGCAACTTCTGGGTAGGTCAGAGGGTGTCAGTGGTGATCTGATCACTACCTCAGTGATGGCTATCAAACACACCCATATGAGGCCTCAGATTCCCCAGTCACTGTCCTTTGAACCCTAGGCTGCCTGCTGTACCTCAGCTGCCCTTGCAGCACATGTGTGGCCCCAAGCCAACCACCTGGAGTCTCTGGCTCCTCCAGATACTCTTGACCTCACTGATACAAAGCACCGTGTTTCTCAAGCAGCTGCTAAAGAGGTTGGTGGGGGTGTAACCTAGAAGGGCAGGAATAAGGTATTAATTAGCATTTAGCTCTGGCCTCAGGCTCTGTTTCTAGGGAGCCCAAGATGAGATAATTGTTTGTTCCATAGGAGGAAATTGCTCGGCACCCTACCATTTCCTGAATGCATTTCTTTAGCTTTTTGCAACTCTGGGTTTGGGAATATCCTCTTAAGAGTTTGTTTTTAGGACCATCACAACTCATTTCCAATTCAAACCCCAGATTTCATGCCTCTTTCTTAGTGAAGTGATTAGTTATTGCACTGGCTGAAGGAGTTCTTTCCTTCCAGAAATTTCCATTGCACTCTATCTATATCTAACTTATGATATTTATCTTTCTCCATTGTGTGGCTCTCCCTGTTCCCTGCTTTAACTCAGGCCCTCATCTTTCTTATGAGATCACTTTGGGGGCCTCCTACACTGGTTTTTGGCCTCTAGTCCCATCCCCTGCTCCTGATTCCTCAATTTAGCCGTTGTTTCTCTGTCTGCCAGGAGCCTTCTTCCTTTCTTTCCTTGCTTCTCCAGCCAACTTCTATTCCATCTTTTCAGACCTTTTAAAGGAGTTCAAGCATGGGTTCTTGCAAGAAACCTTCCCAGACTCACCCTCAGACTAGATTACTGCTATAGAATAATGTGTGTTCCCTCAGATACATGTGTTGAAACCTAATCTCCAATGTGACAGCATTAGGAGGTGGGATCGTTGGGTGATTAGGTCACGACAGCAGGGCCCTCATGGATGGGATTGGTGCCCTTTATAAAGGAGACCCCAGAGAGTGACCTAGACCCTCTGTCATGTGGGGACAAGTGAGAAGGTGGCTGTCATGAATCAGGAAGTGGGCTCTCACCAGACACCACATCTGCTGGCATCTTCATCTTGGACTTCTCAGCCTCCAGAGTGGTGAGAAATAAGCTTGGGTGTTCATAAACTACCTTGTCTGTGGTATTTCTGTTAAAGCAGCCTGAATAGACTAAGACAGGCACACAGCCCTCTTTGGGGTCCACACAGTATTCAGTCTGTTTCTATTCCAGCTTTAATAGTAGGATAATTGAAGGCTTACTTATCCATCCTCCTCAGACCTTGAATTCCCCAAGAAAAAGTTTGTAATTTTTTTCTAACACAGTGCCTGGCACACTATATAGTTCACTATAGGTTTACATAATGAATAATAAAAAAAATAGCTGTCTTATTCTTTACTGGACTTGAAGTCCTTTGCAGTCAAGGATATATGCCTGATTCACCTTTGCATTCCAGCACCAAGGATCAGGAGAATGCTGAACAGTGTATGGAAAGAATGAGTAAATTCATGACATGATGGAGAATTTGTCATTAAAGTCACCTGGCAGAACTCTGGCTCGAGGAGACACTGTTAGCCCTGAACAGCTCCACAGGCAGGCGGCAGGCAAGCCAGACCCTGTCTGGGTTCACTTCCTTTTACGAAGTGTGCAGAAGCAACTGTACCTCAGCCTCCACGTGCCCACCCACCATCTTGCTCCTCAGAGGCAGGACACTTTCCTCTGCTACCCCTGCTCCCTTCCCCCCACTTTGTGTACTCCTGCCACCTGGCCTCCTCTCAGTCTCATGTACCCTCCACGTCTCCTCCCCTAGAGCCACCTTCTTTGGGGACTGCACTATGTGGAGGTGACCTGGCATCCAAACAGGGATCCCAGAACATGGACATGTAGAGGGTTGGCCAAAGGTAATGAGGGACAGCTCCTCCATGGTGACCAGCCAGGACCAAATGATGTTTCAGCAGAGGCCACAGCATACCTGCAGATAGGGACTGTCTCCAGGGGAACAGGGGAACTCTCTTCCCTGCCTGCTCCCTCCATGCCCCTTCCCCTATTTAGGTCTCTGCTCAGATGTCCTCCTTATGCAATCTGCTCTTTGTCCCATCCACTTCTTCAGCTTTCTTTATATCACTATTGCAGTTTTTTTCTAAAAATTGTTTTTAAAATCATGAGTAACTATAAAATAATATCTTAAAAATATATGTGTAACATATAATAAGTGAGAGTGAACATGCAATACTCGCTCCCATCCGCTGGCCTCATGTGACCCTCTCCCAATCCCATGCCCCTCCTTCCACCTTATAGGAAAACACTAGTTTCTGTTTTTGGCTTTTTCATTAGTTTTACCCTATATGAATGTGTGAGGTAAGACTCTATTATTTGCATTCCTAAATAATATTTTGCATCCTTTAGCATATTTTTAAACTTTAGACAAATGCAATTGTTCTTTTTTTTCCCCCAAGGTTGAACAGTGTTTATATGTGTAGCTATAATTCATTCACTTTCCCTTGCTGTAAGATATTTTTCTATATGCACATACTCTCAGTTCTCAAAAAAAAATCCACTCTTCTGTTTATGGACAGGTCCTGTTTTCTGCTGTTAAGAATAGTGCTGCTGTATCTTACCAAAAACACTTACTAATTACACAGGAAAAAAAGGAAGCGGAGAAAATGGACAAGACCTTAACAAAGTAATCAAAATGAACATTACTTATCCAGCACAGACACTGTTCTGCCCATGTGACACCCGAGAAGATGAACATCTCTTCTGTGATATCCTAGTCAGAGTAGCTTAATCTGAATCTAATCACAAGGAAACATCAGAACCCCAAACGAGGAACCTTTTATAAAATAACTGGCCTGTATTCTTTTTAAAAATACACATTGTTTTTACTAGAGCAGTTTTAGATTTGCAGCAACATTGAGCAGAAGGTATAGAGATTTTCAATACTATTTCCTGCCATAGCATATGCACAGCTTTCACCACCATCAAAATCCCACACCAGATTTGTACCTTTGTTACAATCAATGAAATTACATCAACACATCACAATGCCCCGAAGTCCATAGCTCACTTTACTGTTCACTCTTGGTGGTGTACATTCTACACCATCAAGACAAGATCAAGGGTTTTGACAAATGTCTAATGACATTTATTTAGTACAGTATCATATACAACAGTTTTACTGCCCTAAAAATCCTGTCTGAGCCTGTTCATCTCTCTCTCCCCCTAACACATGGCAACCATGATCGTATTGCCATCTTCATAGTTTTGCCTTTTCCAGCATGTCCTATAGTTGGAATCATACAGTATGCAGCCTCTTCAGATTGGTTTCTTTTTCTTAGTAGCGTTTAAGTTTCTATGTCTTTTCAGGGCTTGATGGTTCATTTCTTTTTAGTATTGAATAATATTTCATTGTCTGCATACACCATGGTTTACTTATTCAATCACCTGTTGAAGGACATCTCGTTAGCTTGCAGGTCTTCACACTTATGAATAAAGCTCCTATAAACATTTGTGTACTAGTTTTTGTGTAGACATGTTTTTGACTCATTTTGGTAAATACCAATGAGTGCAATTGCTGGATAGTATTGTAAGAGTATGTTTAGTTTGGTAAGAGACTGCCAAACTGTCTTCTAAAGTTTCTGTACCATTCTGCATTCCCACCAGCAATGAATAAGAATTCCTGTTGCTCACATTCTTTTCAGCATTTGGTGTTGTCAATATTTTGGATTTTGGCCATTCTGATAGGTGTGTAGTGGTTCTCGTTGTTTTAGTCTGTGTTCTTAAAAATTTTTCAGAGAAAAAAGTGCAATCAAAGACGTTATTACAACATTGACAAAATTTTAATTGGGAATGCAGATTAAAGTCTTCTATTAAAGTCTTAAGTTTCCTTAATTTGATCATCTGTAGTTTCATTCTTAGGACATATATAGTGAAAGATTAAGGGGCAAGGGCGCCTGATGTATGTAAACAATTCACAAATGTCAGGAAAAAAAGCATATAAAGGAAGGAAATGTGACATGCCCTTAGTTTGAGTGCGGATGAATGATATGTACGAGTTTGTACTAACTAGTCTTGCATTTTTTCTGTAAACCATTTAAAAATAAAAAGTTTAAATAATTTTTAAAAAGTGCTGCCTTTAATATCCCATCCAAATATTTTGATGCAGTTTCTCGAGCATATTCGGAAGCGTGGAATCACAGACTCGCAAGGTGTGTGCCTCTTCAACTTGATTAGCTAAATAGTTACAAAGTGTTACTGACACCCTTATTGATTTTATTTATCTATTTATTGTCTTTCTCACTGAACGTAAGGTCGTTGGCAGTGCTCTAGAAGTGAGTAGGCCTTGCACCCGCAGCATCAGCCTCACCGAGGTGCTGGTTAGAAGGGCATACCCTCAGACGCCCACTCCAGACTTGATGAACCAGAAACTCGGGGGCAGGGAGCACCACCCGGGTTATCTGCACTTTCACAAGTCCTCTAAGTGATTATAACGCTTTAGTAGCGCCAATCAACGATCCATTAGGGCCGCGCCTGTCTTGCAGAGCGCCGTTTCCAAGACCAGTGGACGGCGATGCTGGACCACGGGTCCGGAGGGTGCCGGAGACAGCACGCAGCGCGTCCTCCCAGGGCACCTCCCCGCTCCGGCACCTCCGCTGGACCCCTGGCTGGGTGGGGAGGGGCGGCCGGACGGGGCGGGCCGGAGGCTGGCGTCCCGCCTCCCGAGCAGCGGCTGGCCGCGACGTGCCCTCTCTTCCTTCCCTTCCTCCTTTCTTCCTTTTCTTCCTCCCTCCTTCCGCCGGCGCGATGGAGCCGGGGCGCGGGGCGGCCACGGCGCTACTGGCGCTGCTGTGCGCGGGCTGCGCGCTGCGCTCGGCGCGCGCCCAATACGAGCACTACAGCTTCCGCAGCTTCCCGCGGGACGAGCTGATGCCAATCGAGTCGGCCTACCGGCACGCGCTGGATCAATACAGCGGCGAGCACTGGGCAGAGAGCGTGGGCTACCTGGAGATCAGCCTGCGGCTGCACCGCCTGCTGCGCGACAGCGAGGCCTTCTGCCACCGCAACTGCAGCGTGGCGCCCCAGCCCGCGCCGGCCGCCGGCCTCGCCCGCTACCCCGAGCTGCGCCTCTTCGGGGGCCTGCTGCGCCGCGCGCACTGCCTCAAGCGCTGCAAGCAGGGCCTGCCAGCCTTCCGCCAGTCGCAGCCCAGCCGCGAAGTGCTGGCCGACTTCCAGAGCCGAGAGCCCTACAAGTTCCTGCAGTTCGCCTACTTCAAGGCAAGTCAGCAGGCCCCGCCCCGCCCCAGGCTCAGCCCCGCCCCGCCCCAGGCTCAGACCTGCCCCCGTACCCCGCCCCGCCCCAGGCTCCGCCCCCAGGTCCCCCCCGGTCCCGCCCCTCCGCCCCGGGCCGCGTCCAGCCGTCCTACCCTGACCGCGTTCCCTCCCACGCAGCCCCGCGGAAGGACGCTTTCCAAATCCTGGCCCGCTTCTTCTTTAGTAGAGATGAGAGTACATTTCTGGAAGGACTGTTCTGAGGCAGAGAATACGTACAAAGAACGTCAAGCAAAGTGTGGCACCCAACAAAGTGCCTGACAAGTATTAGCGCTATTTGAACACAGACCCCTTTTCTCTATACACCATTAAAATCCCCTCTTCGAAGAGAGTGGCGACTTTGAGGAATGGGACGGAAGCAGACCTGGGGAACCGCCGGTGGTGTCCGGGGTCACCCCGTACCGGGGGCAGAGCTGCGACCCGCTGTGGGCTCTCCCTAGGGTCTGTCGTGAAGAACCCGCACAGCCGTCTTCCTCCTCGTGGCTGCTGCCGTTCTGTCTGTGATGGCTAGCTAAAAATAGCCACAAATTGCAGTTCTCGACCTTTTGAGCCCCTGCTCTCGGGACCCATAAATTTGAAGAATGGGCTGAATTTCCTGTTACCGGATAAAAAGGCTTTCAGTTGGCAAGTCTTTATCAGGTTTTGCCAAAAGCTCTCTCCAAGCCCAGTTTCTACTTTAACTAATTGAAAAGGATTTTTGTGGGAATATTTTGCATTTATTTTAATGGAAACGAAGATCTCATAGGCATTTCCCAGATTTTCTGCTGACAGAGCTACCTGTATGTTGCATTTCCCAGATTTTCTGCTGACAGAGCTACCTGTATGTTGCATTAGTAACAACAATAAAATAGCACAAAATCCCAAAGAGGAGAAAAGCTGGTGATTTCTATCCTTAGCTACACTTTTATATACTGTCAGTTCTATGGACGTTTGTCCTGGAAATAAAAAAACAAAAACAAAAAAACAGTTTTAAAATAGAACTAAGGGGTAAGATTAATAAAGTTCCAGGACATTAAAAAATGATGACTGGCTCATTAAAAAACTTGTTTAAATTAAAAATGACTCGTTTTTCTCTCTTATTTGTATTGCTTTTAGCAAATAGAGTCTAAACCAAATTTGAGCCACATAATCAAGGGGGAAATGTTTTACTTTTAAACATGTAAAATAGCTCTGATTTATATACAGACGAGTTAATTCAAAACAAGTGATACAGGGAGGAAGGAAAGAGCATTGTGCTTAATATGATCAGAAGGCATAGGTTTTCTTCATCATTGCATCCTGGAAGGTTAAAGTGGTCATAGCTTCTCTTCAAAACTTTTTATAGGTCTTGTAACAATCACGTGAGAGTCAGTAAAATACCATCTGTCTTAGTATTTTGAGATCTCTTACAGGTCAGTACTAGGTTAGGAATTTTACTAATAAACCAGAGTGGTGGTCACTTATGGTCACTTAATTGCTTCAACTAAAAATCACCAAATAATCCATTTTAGGTGGCGATGTTGTGTGGCTTATTTTTTTCCTTAATGATGTTTATATTTTCAAGCTCAGTTTATGGGTAGGGAGACTGATTGGTGACAGGCACATTCATGCCATCTGGCACCAGCTGTTGGAGGTAGATGGTGCTGCCTGCTGTCCTGGGACTGAGGTGCCATTCTGATTTGCAGGCCTCTGTTTCAGTGATTAGGGACAAACGCCTGAGTTGAACCCATGGATGACAATGGTGAGTTTGGGCTGTCAGAATGAGAGGTGTGGGTGTGTGATCATGTAGAGGAGGGGCTGTGCCCCTGGGGTGTGGCCCTCAAGCTCACACTAGGTTTCATGTCACCAGCCTACCTTAGATCCTCATCAGCTGTGGGTTTTCTTCATGGCCACCATCTCTGTGAAATGCTCATCTCCCCATAGGCTGAGCAAAGGGTGGGTCCCAGCACTTTATGTAAAGTCCTACTGATTGTTTAACTCTGAGTGGAAGTAGAGCCAGCCCCCTCGCAGACTCTTACCACCCTACACCCCTCTCTAAGCGCTCCTCTGAGAATTAGAGAATCCAGTTTCATTGGCAAATGCTTTAAAAGGGCCATGTTCATACCATCTCCCTCCCTTCTAGCTGCCAAACTAGACTTTTTCAGCCAGGAGTGTAGACTTTCTGTAGAACTCTTCCCACGGCTGACCCACTTCAGGCCACTGGCTGCCATTTCCAAAATATCAGCATCAGTGTCTGGAGTCTTCCCTCACTGCCACCCACCTCTGCCCCAATGCAGCCACTGCCACTGTCTCCAAATGACTTGGCTCTAATTCTGGGGCAATTCTGTACAGATATGTGCTACCCTTTAATTTTCAGAAATCCAGAGTGTACCAAATGTCCCTTTGTTTTCTCTCTCCAAACCTGACTCCCTGCTTCCCACCTTTGAGTGTCCCTCTGGATTGGCTGAAGGACTCTCTGTACATATGTGGGTGTCTTCCCTCCTCTCACTGGGTTGTGCCATGATTCCAGGGGTGGCCAGAGCCACAACATGAAGGTGGGGGTCCTCTGGTTGTTAATTGTGTGTTCACATGAGGTGTACAGACCCACTTGCCTGCCATCTTGAGGTCCCCTGACAACAGGCCATTCCTTCCGAGGACTTCAGCCCCCTTGGCCCAGAAGAGGCCAAACCTGAAGGTCTAGGGCCACAGAGCTGGCTGCTCCTGCAGTCCCCAAGGGAAACTTTGTGTTCTGGCCTGGGAGAGTGCCCCCCTCTCTTTTTCCTCCAGGCCAGTCAGCTTCTTCCTGCAGCTCCCTCCCCGACTCCTCACCTCGTCACTCCTGCTTAGGCCTCTCAGGAGTGCAGGACTCCTGTCATATGGGTAATTTCTACATTCTGACCAGACAGCTACCTCCTTTGAGGCAGTGAACCCAGAATCAGCTGACCACCGCTTAAATGGGGAGAAGAGAAAGAGGAAAAGACAGGGAAATGCAAATTCATTTTATGAAAATATTATATAGTCATAATGTCATGTTCAGATCACTGTGTCCTGCCATGTCCCAGGAACTGTGCCAGGTGCCAGGAACATAGACATGAATGACACTGCTGGGTCCATCAAGGATCATAGTCTGGAGGGAGAGATAGACACATACTAGCTGAGACTACAGAGCTCTGAGAAAGGTGGGAAGACAGAACACAGGGTAAGGTAGAAGAGAGGCAATTGATCAGGGTTCCTAGGAGGTAGGGAAACTTACGTGGATGTAGGTACATGCCACAGGTGTTTTTTTTCCTTGGTTGCTCATTGTTACATACCTACTTCTTAGAAGTGCCTCACAGGTAGGAGGCTCTCAACAAATATTTCCCAAGTGAGTGGGTAAGTGAGGAGGCAATGGAAGTCATCGAGAATGGGGAAGCAGCAGGTTCCATGAGAGATGTGGGAAAATATCACTCTATTTGTTAAGGTTCCAGCAGAATACCCATGGTACTGTCATATTGGGTAGTTGGAGGAACATTTAGTAAGGTAGTTATTTAGAAAGTTCTAGTAACGGTGGGTGTGACTACCCATAGACCAAGAAAGGCAAAGGAGAGATCAACTTCTAGAACCTGGAGAGAGAGAGAGTATATGGAGAAGCCACCGTGTGGGGCGCTGTGACCTTCAGCTAAGGGACAATGGCGGCCTGCGGAGATTGTGCAGGGAGGGAGCCAGGAGACAAATCACCCAGCCTGACTTTCCTTGCTTCCTTCAGGCTTGTCCTCATTGGTGACCCCCAAGGGGAGCTGGAAGGTAAAAGAGTCCATTCCTGATGGACCCTGGATGTCACTGAGCTGGACACACTGTGAAGGAACAAAAAGTTACCTGAAGGACTGAATGGACATTCTTGTTTTGCAAAAATCACTACTCATCACCTATTGGGTAGCTCTCATCTTTCTCCTTTGTTCATAGGCAAATAATCTTCCAAAAGCCATTGCAGCTGCTCACACATTTCTACTGAAGCATCCTGATGATGAAATGATGAAGAGAAACATGGCATATTACAAGAGCTTACCCGACGCCGAGGACTATATTAAAGACTTGGAAACCAAGTCATATGAGGTATAGTTGGATTTCTACACAACGGTTCTTCACCATGTGAACTGCCGAAGAAGTGTGTTCCAGTGATCGGCTATTTACATCTCAGGCCCCCTAGTGATCTTTGATGATGTTGATGAATATTAGGACAATAGAAAAGATTGACTTGTGAGCACAAAGTTGACCCATTTAAGAATGAGATTTTACATTTCATGATGCTTTTGAAGCCATCTTTCCTTTAAATGCTGTAGGGGAGTTCTGAGGACGATTGGTGATAACAAGAGGAAGAATCTAATAACCCTGCCAAGGGTTTCCTATGGTCTGGGCCTGTTAAGGCTCAGGCGCTGGGGGCATGGGTACCGAGGAAGGGAGGCAGGGTTGAAAACAGAGGGATGTATTGACAATATCCATAGGGAGCTGTGAGGTCCCAAGTCTGCCTACAGGGTTTCCTGCAGTGTGACCAGATTGCAAGTCACTTATTCACTCATGGTGACCCTCAAACATAATATGCGAAGTCTTTTTACTGGATAGCCCTTCAGTGTTCCAGGGAAGAGCACTCCAGCCTCCTGAAGGACTGCTGGGGGCACCCATGCTTGTCTGCTGGTGTCTGGACCAAGTCTGGGGAGAGGGAGGGAGACCCTGTGGCCTCTAGGCCTTCAGCCCCATGCCTTGGCCCCAGCTCTGCTCTGCCTCATCCCTGACCCCTCAGCCCTGTGGACAGAATCTCTAGAATCAGTCACCAATCTCTGGTGAGGAGTAGCTTTGAGAGGTGTGATCCCTGGGGTGGGCAGGTGAGTGCTGGGAGGGAGCTTAGGGCTCTAACAGCCCTGTTCAGGCTTTTAGGCTGGCTTTCCATTGCATGCCTTGCACCAGCCGTCTGTGGTCCCCAGTGCCTGCAAGAGCCAACAGGTGGTAGCTCATGTCCCCTGCAGACCCTCCTATGATAATTGGCTTTCTGTCTTTCCAAAAGTTGTTGAAGTCTCTTGTCTGCTGTTTGCTTCTTTTCCATTCTCCCATGAAAAGGATTTGTGCCTTCTTACTTTTCTTCACTGTTGATTTTGTGGGGTTTGGGGAGCAGAGCTAGACCTCTCTTTCCCCCTTTGGAGTCCTGTGGGGTACTGTGGGGCTGCCCACATGTGTGCCCCCTGAGGATCCCTCCTCTTTGTGGCTTTCTTCCTGCTGCTTCTACAGAGCCAGCTGCCTGGAGCACTGCTTATTTACTCAGCCTCTAGGAGAGGCTCCTGCAATTTTCTATCTGTCTTGTTTCCAGGGATGCTGCCTGCCCAGGAGGTTTGGGAGAAATCAGAGCAGTGGCCCACCTTCTCTACCTGCCACCTTCAGCTTGGTAAAAATCCCAGGCCCAAGCGGTGGCCCTCAGATACCCCCATTCTGGAGCAGCTGGTAAAGGAACTCCAAGTCGAGTCCTATGCTTTTTTCAAGACCTGTCCTGGCTCCTCCGAGTGAGCAGGGTTTTGCATGTATCTGTTGGGAAAGAATTGGTTTGGAGATGCAGGGAAGTCAGAATGAAAGGTGAGGAAGGAATTCATTAAAGTAAGAGTGGCAGGGAATGGCAGCTGCCTTGCAGGAAGCAGAGAGCAAGAAAGAACAGAGGCAGGAAAGGGAAGCTCATTGAACTCCTGCTTGGCATTGGGCAAATCTCTTGCCAACTCCTAAAACCAGGGTCACCTGGCATCCAGTGTCTGCTTGAATCTGCTTGGCACGGGAACTAAGTTCATACCACCCCAGGATTTGGAGGAGCCACAGAGCACTGGATGGAAGGAGATTATCTTCTGAGAACTTCTCAAAGGCAAAGAAAGGAGATTTTCAGGCAGGTTACTGCAAGATCGTACAGCTGCAGTCCTGTGGGTCACCCAGGCAATGGGAACTTGCAAGCCTAAGTCAGACCTCTTAATAGCCCTTCACTTCTTATCTGGAGTAGAACAGAGAGAGTGGCACACTTAAAGAAAGGGGAGTGTGGGTAATCTCAGAGAGGAGGCATGCTTGAGGTTTAGGGTTTGGGGTTTTATAGGGCCTTTTGGGTAAGGGTCAGCATAGAATTCCTTTGAAGTTTTGTCTTAAGAACAGGGTTATTTAAGTGACTGTGTTGGTCCGGATCTCAGCATTCTTTATCCACATAGGTTTATTTACAGGTCTATCTCCTGTTCTGGTTATAAAGCTACCTGATGAAGGGGCTGGAAGAAGAGGAATAACAACATATAGATTAAATTAAAGAATAAGTTGGGCCTTTTTTGCAGGCTAAATTGATTTTACAATGGCATGATCTAATTGGTACAATCAAGACATGGACTGAGCTCTAATACTTTACCTGGAGAATATCTGGACATTCCAAGTTACTCCTAGCTTTTGAAACTTCAGCGAATTAACTCATTAATTCTGTGGGTCCTTTCTGGCTCATTGGTCTTACCTGGTTAGCTCTTTGAGTCCCTTTTAGTGGACTCCACTGGCCTTATTCTCCCTACGACCTGGTCTTATCTTGTCTTTCTGCCTTACATATCCAAGATCTCTACTTATTTCTTGTGAGACCTAGCTGCTTCCTCAGCCCTAGTTATTTCTATTTTATCTGGTCCAGTTAAAAGTTAGCAGAAATTCCTTGACATTCCCACTGTCTGGCACACAGCCACCCTCCCCACTAACTAGGGTGGATGCATAGCCCTCCTATTTTATACTATACTGTTAGAGGGCACCTGTCCAACACTTGCTCTCAAGCTTGAGTCTTTCCCTTGGTTCAGTTTTTAAAATGAAAAATGTCTCCCTTAAAATGTCCCCTCACACCTTTGTTGTCAGGCCTTTGTCCCATCCACTGTCTGCTGGTGTCCACTGCTCTGATTTCTGTTTTTATAGTTTTCCTTTTTCCTTGATTCTCATTTTACTTTATTATCATACTCCTGTTACTTTTTGAGTTAAAGTTAAGTGTCCCATTGTACACAGGGTAGAGAAGGCGAGATCTAAGTAAGTCATTGCTTGGCTTCATACTTAAAAGTCAGCATAGTTTCTTCAGAACTAATGAAAGTGGAGCTGTGTGGTGGTTCGATTCCTTTTTGGGGGGCGGATCTGTCTCCCTTCATGTCCGGGAACCTCACCGGCTCCCACCTGCCTTCCAGACCCTGTTCATCCGCGCGGTGCGTGCGTACAACGGTGAGAACTGGAGGACAGCCATCACGGACATGGAGCTGGCCCTTCCTGACTTCTTTAAGGCCTTTTACGAGTGTCTCGCAGCCTGTGAGGGCTCCAGGGAGATCAAGGACTTCAAGGATTTCTACCTTTCCATAGCAGGTTGGCAGTGGGTTGTATCCTGGCTGGAAATGGGACAGCCCCCTGTGGAATCAGCAAGCCGTCTGGGTGACTTGAGAGGCCCCTGAGGAACCGTTGAGCTTAAATGTGAATGTCTGACACTTACACAGACCAGCCTTTAGCTTTGGCGGGGCTTCTGGAGAAGTAGCCAAGCACAGTGTTCAAGCACTGGCTCCGAGAGGAGGTCTTCCTTCCCAGCCGTTCCCAATTATAGATTCCCCACAGGCTTTTGGAGAAATAAAAATGGGCCCAAGAGCAACTCATGACTCACATGACTGAGATAACTTTGATCATGGAATTTTCCAGCACCATAAAGGTAGAATGGAAACAACAGTGAACCTTTTAAGTTCTCATGACAGTGACTTTCAGAAAAGTTTCCTGATTATAGAACAATGCCTGCTCATTATAGGAAGTTTAGAAATCACAGAAAGGAATGAAGAGAGAAAGAAAATTTTAAACTCTACCCGGAGATAGCCCAGATCTCCCCAGGGTGTATGACATTTAGTGAGCACTGTTGCTCCAGAAAATGGGAAATGGCCAAGAAGAGATTTCCCAAAATATCTGGAGAGCATTGATCCTTGAACTGCACCTCACAGAAAGGATGCCCCAGTCAAACACGTCTGGGAATGTGTCTGCTGCTCCGAGTGCCGCTGTATACTTTAATGGCTAATGGCTTGTGGAAATCTTGCAGTATGACAGCTCTTTTAAGTTACTGAACCCAGGGTTTTGGTTTGCTTTTTATCATTTTTGTTCATGAATCTCTTTTTCCACAGAGGAGCTTGTTTTTTTCTTAACAAAGCCTTTTTATTGTGGAAAATTTCAAACATATGCCAAAGATAAAGAGAAGAGTATAATGGACCCTCGTGTACCTATGACCCAGCTTCACAGCTGTCACCTCACAGCCACGGGGGCTTCGTCTGATTCTCACCTACTAACCCTCATGTTATTTTGAAGCCAATCTCAGATGCTCTATCCCTTCATTTATAATATGTCAGTACGTGTATCTCTAAAAGACAAGAGCTTATTTTTTTTTAAATAACCACCAAACTATTCCACCTGAAAGAATTTTAACAATATTTCTTTGATCTTCATCAGCTATCCAGTGTCTCAGTCATCTCAGAAATGTTGCACATTTAGTTAAGAGTTTATTTGAATCAGGATCCAAAGAGGGTTGTTACATTGCATTTGGTTCTCTTCTTAACATTTTTATTTTGGTAGCATATATATAACATAAAATATTACTATTTTAAGTGTCCTTATGCATCCCAGCCCTGTGGCATGATGTGCATTCACCTTGTTGGGCAGCTGTCCATACTGAACCTTTTCTATCCATCTCCAGAACCTGTTCATCCTCCCAAACTGAAGCCCTGAACCCAGGAAATGCGAACTCCCGTCCTCTCCCCCGGCCCCCGACCACCACCAGTCTACTCTCTGTCTCTATGGATTTAACTCCCCTAGGTACCGTACATAAGTAGAATTATTCAATATCTGTCCTTCAGTGACTGGCTTATTGCACCAACCATAGTGTTCTCACCATGTCCCAGCAAATTGGTTATCTTTTAAATCTCTTTTACTTTATAGGTTCCTCCTCTGTAACTTTTTCCTCCCTCGCTATTGAGAAAACCTGCCATTTGTCCTATAGAGATTCCCACCGTCCGGAATCGCTGATTATGAACCTGTGGTCCTCTGTCCTCTGTATTTCTTATAAATTGGTAGGTAGATGGAGAAGCTTGATCAGGCTCAGATTTTTTGGTTTTTTTTTTTTAGTGGGATTGGGGCCAAGAGGACTTCCAAACTGGTGCTGAGTTCTCCTAGCAGGAAGCACAGAATGTCTGGTTGTCTCTCTCTTTGTAACGTTCGCAGCTGCTGGTGCTCCTGCCTGGACCTCACATAGCATCTCTTGGTGACAGGTCATTCCTTCCAACCTCCTGTCCTGCCTACAGTGCTAGGAAGTTTTCCCTAGACTCAGAATAAAGAGAGGAGTGCCAGCCTGGTGCTTGCTTAGAGCTGCAGTGTTTTGATTATAGATAAAAAATAGGTATGAGAAAAGATAACATTTATTAAGCTCTAACTAGATACCAGGCTCTGTTCTATGCTCTTTATGTGTATTATCTCAATTTGCAGCCCTATGAGGAAGGTACTAGCATTCTCCCCATTTTACAGCTGGGAAAGCTGGGCACAAAGAGGTTAAGAACTGTGCTTACTGTCTTCAGGGAAGGTCTGGGATTTGCCCCCAGGCATCTTACTGTAGCGTCTTACCTCTTAATTCCAATAAAATAGTCTCACCTTCTGAGGTACATCATACTTAATTTCAAACTTTATTTTATTTTTGAATAGATAATGTATGTGCATAGTTCAATCTCTGAAAGACACCAAAGGATATACTATGAAAAATAAGTCTTCATCTGTATAGTAAGGATCTGGCGATAGATGGCACATGAGCATCAGGGAAGTTCAAGAAGAATTTGTCTACGAAGGGGTTATTTACAGAAGTGTGGGTAGAGGGGAAACCCAAGGGGGCAGAATAGTACCTGGGGCTGCTAGGAGCTGATTTACATTACCTAGGCTGAAGGGAGGTGAGGAGTCACAGGTAGCTAGGAGGAAGTCTTGCTCCCATCCATCTCTTCTGCCCATTCCACTCACCCCCAAAGGTACTGTGTTTATTAGCTTCTGCTTTATACTTTAAAGTTTTTTTTTTGACAAAAATAAGCAGAGATCACTTTATCTTTGATATACTGTAGTCTTATCTATATATTTGTTATGTATGTGTGTGTATATATAGATAGATGACATAAGATCTTATGTAAGTATATATGTCTTATCTACCTATATATCTCATCTGTAAGATATGTATCTATACCTGTATCTGTCTGTATCTAGGTAGACAGACAGATAGATAGATGCTTAGGGATTTTTTTTAGTTTTTATTTTTAAATAATTTCAAACCTGTAGAGAAGTTGCAAGAATAATACAAAGAACTCAATATAGTCCTTACCCATATTTACTAATTTTTAACACTGATTGTACCATACTTACTTTGTCACTGTCTCTATATGTATGTGTATAATTATTTCAGAGCCATTTAAAAATAGGTTGGATACATCATGACCTTTTAACCCCAAACCTCAGTGTATTTCCTAGGCACAGTAATATTCTCTACATAGCCACAGTACAGTCATTAAATCCAGGCAACTTAATATTAATCCAATACTTTAATCCAGTCTACAGGCCATATTCCAATGTTGTCAACTAGCCCACCAACAATGTCTTTCTGGCAACATTTTTCCTGGTACAGTCCAGTCCGGGATCATGTTTCCTATTTACTTGTCATTTCTTCAATCTGGAATAGTTTCTTGGACTTCTTTGTCTTCTTATGCCATTGACATTTTCTAAGAATCAGACCAATTACTTTGTAGAATATTCCTCAATTTGGGATTCTATGACTTGTCCTCAGAGTTACCTTCAGGTTGTGCATTTTTGGCTGGAACATTACAGAAGTGTGCTTCTGAGGGTATCTCATCCAGATGTGCATGGTGTCTGCCCATTATTGGTGATGTTAATTTTTAAATATTTGATTAAGGTGTTTTCCAGTTTTCCCACAACATAATTACTACTTTTGTTTTATGAGATTAATGATTTGTGGAGAGATACTTCAAGACTGGCTCAATTTGCTCCCCCCTCCACCCCACCCCCACACACTCACTGATTTAAGTCTATTGCACAGAGAGTGTGTCATTCTTTTTGACTGTTGCCAAGTACTCCAATGAGGAGTTTGGGGCGTGGTGATGTACTGCTGTTTGTTCAGCTGTGTAATGGACATTTCGTTTATTCCAATCTTTTGTTCTTGCATATAGTGCTGCAATGGAGAACTTCAGGTTTTGTGTTTTGTTTTTGTACTAAGGGTGGAGATGTGTTTTCAAGGTCAACATATGTGGGATTGACAGTTCCAAGAGTAAATGTCTCTGTAAATTATTTAGTATTTTAAGTTACCATTTTATATTCCTACCAGAAATGTAGGAGAGTACCTTATTACCCACGGTCTTGCCAAGAAAATGTGTATCATCCTCTGGCTGCATGAAGGGGGAAAAGCATCAAGGGTCATGTGGGTGGCTTTTAGGGCCCAGTCCTGGAAGTAGCATTTATGGGTTTTTGCTATCCACATTTCCCTGGTCTAGACACGGTCCCCACCCACCTGCAGAGGAGGTTGGGAAATGTAGTTTTTGACATTGCTCTCTGTTATATTTCAGTCCACATATTCTCTTTTAAAGTCTGTATAGATTTTATTGTTTGTAGGTACTGTAATATGTCAATCACCATCCTATTGATTGGCATTTAGATTTTCAGGGTTTATTTGTTGTTACAAATAGTGCTATGACTAATAATATTTCCCAAAGCTGATTTCTGGGTCAGAGGGTATGAAAACCTTTGACACATAGTGCCCGATGGCTCTCCAAAACATTTACTCCTATTCTGCTTCTACCAACAGAATATGAGTGTCCGTTTCTTCATTCTCTCCCTAACACTGGGTGTTTTCAAATTTAAAAGATGTTGCCAATTTAACAGTCTAAACTATTTTAGATGGGATTGTATTTCTCAATTACACATGAGGTTTAGTGTCTTTTTACAGTGATTATTAGCCATTTTTATAATTTGTTTTCTGTTAACATCCATTGGCCTCTTCCTATTGACTTTAAGGAACTTTGTATAATAGACTTTAGCCTTTTAGCATCAGTGTTACAAATATGTTACATTTACCATTTTCACCTTTTCCTTTATCCTTTGGGGTGGGGTGAAAGCACTCTGAAGGAAGTGATAACTGCACTGCTCTGAAAATTTGTGTGTATTCTCTCAGATCACTACATAGAAGTTCTACAATGCAAAATACAGTGTGAAGAGAACCTCACCCCAGTTATAGGAGGCTACCCGGTGGAGAAATTTGTGGCTACCATGTATCATTATTTGCAGTTCGCTTATTACAAATGTAAGTAATCATTTTCTATGAGATCTTGGACAAGGTACTTAATCCTTCTGAGACTCGGCTTCCCCATCTGTAAAATAGGTGTAATGACTCTTACCTATGGCTATTGAAAGAATTCGTCAAGCATTGACAGCTTGGTGCTGGGCTTTACACAGATTAGCAGCATGGCCTGGTGACTCAGGGCACAGGCCTTGGAACCAGACTGCCTGGGTTTAAATTCCAGCTTCATCACTTACTAACTTCTCTGTGTCTTGGTTTCCTCCTCTGTAATGCAGAGGGAACAGTATTAACCTCATAAGATTGTCTCAAGGATTTAATGAGTTGGCAGACGTGGGCTGTGCGGATATTCCCACCCTGGCACACAGCAAACTTTGCATTTGCTCCTTTTATCATTATTGCCTTTCAGCCCCACTATCGGCCTTACTTTTCTGGCAGAGTTTCATTCCAGGGGATCTGAAGTTAGAGTTTATCAGAACATTCCAAGTGGACAGATGGGAGAAATGCAGGACTAGAGAGAAAGTCATTCAGAGTTCAGGCTCAGAGCCTGTCTTTTCAGCATGTCCTCCTCTCCCTGTGGCTGACGTGCTGAGTGCCACTCCTTTGAGCAGTCTGCGCCTCGGCGGTTCAGTGACAAGCACAGGAGATTATCGGGGCTGATCCGAGCAAGAACTGCTCTGCCCTCCTGATGAAGTGTGTGGGCACAGGGCAGGCTTCCACCGAGATTCCCCTAGGCCATCCTTCAAACTCGGGATCCAGAGATATCCTGGGAAGAGAGAATAGTGACCTTGGCTTTCACAACCCTCCTTCCCTGCTGTGGCCCTTTCGTTCTTTGCTGGCTTCCTCCTCCTGCAACAGCCACCTGCCCTTTTAGCCCACCTCCTGCCCTTGAGGACCTAGTGCACATTGAAAGACTTGCTGCTGAAGGGCTAAAAGGGAAAAAAATTGCTTTTCCTATATAGATGTATATTTACATAGAGCATAGATAGGATGTTTTAAATTGTTTGCTGCTAATGAGGATTGTTCCTGAGAAGGCCCTACACCAGTCTTGAGTAAGGTAATGTGCCCCTTTCAGCAGTGAACCTCATCTTGCAGCAATCTGCACCTCACCTAAAGATGCAGTGAAATGTCCAGAAATGCCTGTCCTTTAGGACATTTCTGAGATCAAAAGGAAGGAGAGGTGTGTCTTAAAACAGATGTCCTTCCCAGAAGTCCCCTTGCATGGAGAGCAAGGATGACATTTTATCCCTCATCCAGACACCAGCTGTTTGGTACAGGATTATTTGGAGTACAGCATGAGAATTTATACTATAAATCTGTGAGCACGCTTTCTTATATTAGACAGCATGGAGCCCACAGTAGGTCCCCAGCAACTATGTATTGATTGTATTCAGACTACTGGAATTCTAAAATTCTTTTAGGTGGAATAGTTTGGTGTTGAAGGGGCAGTATTTTACGAGGCAATATTTTTGCATATGAAGAGCCCTCTCTTTTAATAGAAGTGACTGATAAGTACCTTTTTTCAAGAAGTCTTGAAGCAGGCTTATTGCAGCAGACCAAACATCTTGGGGGTGGATGTACAGAGAGACATCCAGAGCAGACCACCCCGTCCCATCCCCCGCCCCCAATACTTGCTTATATTCACCTGTGCTTGGGAGAGCCCTGTTTTAATGAGAATTATGAAAAATTATGTACATGGGTTTTTCAAAAACTTACTCTGGAAACTTAAAGACATTAGAGAGGGTGGTATAGTGAACTCTAGTGTGCCCATCACCCAACTTCAACTTTTATTAACACTTTGCCCCTCTTGGGTTCACAGTTTAAAGATTATCTTTTGGAGGAACATATCAGCTGATGCTTTTATTTCATTTTCATGAATATCTGTGCTGGCACATGGCTGAGCTGGCCCATGTTGGACTTTGGAACTTGAGGGAATCTTTCAGGTTCAGCCCTCTGAGAAGGGCTGGGTTCTGTGTGCACAAAGCCAGATGACTGGGAAGTTAGCAGGGTTCTGGGCACCTCCGGGCTCCAGCCCACTTGTCCTCTGAAGTCCTCACATGCTGTGGAAGTTACCCTGTGTAGCAGAAGCTTGGCAAAGACTTACAAACGCCGGTGGACCAAAACCTCCAGTTTTGCTTGCTAGGAAATCTTCACTTTGTAGGCTTATAGGAAGCAGTACAAGTAAAATTTACTTCTTGAGATTGGCTTCTTGGAAGTCAGCCCTGTTTTGGACATTTTCTAGATTATCCATCATACTGAACTTTTTGAGGGTAGGTGCTACATTTGAACCCTCTCCCAGCTCAGCTGGTCTGTTAAGTGCCCCGAAGTGCAGGTTTAAAGTTGTCATTATAGGAAACAGCCACTGGGCGGCACAATTTTTCCACACCAAAGCTTTGGTTACTGAGGCCAACCAGAGCGTTAGCAAAGGTAGGTTCCTCGGTTGTAAATTGGAGAGTCCTGTGTCAGGATAAATATCCAGGATCTTGTAGCTTATCACCTCTCTCCCTTTGCACCCAACCCCCTAGACAAATCCCACTGCCTGCACAACCCCTATGCTGAAGGTGGTGCAACTCTAAGAAGGGATGCTGGGGTAGGAACCCCCAGTCTCCAGATGTCAAGACTAGTGGCTTTTCAAACCTCTTCCAGCCCAGAGGTTTTTTTAGGTTTGGTTTAGCTGTGGGAGGGCTCACCTGGATCTGGGATTGTGGTCCTATCCAGGTGGGACCAGGTACATCCCTCCATCCGTTCCTCAGCCCCAGGATGGTCCCAGCCTGGAGACCCTGCCTTCTCAGGCTCCAAGGATGTGACACCAGTGCAGGTAGGCATTTCTGCTAAGACATATGCCTAACAAGCAACTCCCTGTTTCAAAGCTGATTTCCAGGCTGCCAACGGGGACCCAGTCTGGGACCTGCCCACTAGGGATGATTCCCACTGGTCACTGGTTTTTCTTTCCAAAGGAGGGGCTGCAGAGGTACTTGTCCATGGCCTTAAGCTTTCAGAAGCTGTGCTCCAAGGAAAGGCAGCTGATGAGAGGAATGGCAGGGCCTGTTTTTCTGATTTCCTCTTCATCTTTTCTCCCTGCCCTCAGTGAACGACCTGAAGAATGCGGCCCCCTGTGCAGTCAGCTATCTGCTCTTTGACCACGATGACAAGGTCATGCGGCAGAACCTGGTGTATTACCAGTACCACAGGGACAAGTGGGGCCTCTTGGACGAGCATTTCCAGCCCAGACCCGTAAGGGCCATTGCATGAGGCGTGAGGTTTCTGTCCCCTTCATTCTTACTTTCAGGAGCTTGCTTTTGTACCTTAACAGAAGTTATCTCAGAAATGAAGGGAAGCTCATTTTTCCCTGTATTTTTTTGTCTTTTAACATTTCACTGCTTTATTCTGATTTCTAAATCAGTAAAAACCACAGAGTCTAAACATTATGGAAATATTTTACTTAGAAAGAGAAATTTCATCCTAATCTTGTAACTCCTGTTTACCCCGTGCCTTACAGCTATCCAGTTTATTCCCACCCTGGCACACAGCAAACTTTGCATTTGCTCCTTTTATCATTATTGCCTTTCAGCCCCACTATCGGCCTTACTTTTCTGGCAGAGTTTCATTCCAGGGGATCTGAAGTTAGAGTTTATCAGAACATTCCAAGTGGACAGATGGGAGAAATGCAGGACTAGAGAGAAAGTCGTTCAGAGTTCAGGCTCAGAGCCTGTCTTTTCAGCATGTCCTCCTCTCCCTGTGGCTGACGTGCTGAGTGCCACTCCTTTGAGCAGTCTGCGCCTCGGCGGTTCAGTGACAAGCACAGGAGATTATCGGGGCTGATCCGAGCAAGAACTGCTCTGCCCTCCTGATGAAGTGTGTGGGCACAGGGCAGGCTTCCACCGAGATTCCCCTAGGCCATCCTTCAAACTCGGGATCCAGAGATATCCTGGGAAGAGAGAATAGTGACCTTGGCTTTCACAACCCTCCTTCCCTGCTGTGGCCCTTTCGTTCTTTGCTGGCTTCCTCCTCCTGCAACAGCCACCTGCCCTTTTAGCCCACCTCCTGCCCTTGAGGACCTAGTGCACATTGAAAGACTTGCTGCTGAAGGGCTAAAAGGGAAAAAAATTGCTTTTCCTATATAGATGTATATTTACATAGAGCATAGATAGGATGTTTTAAATTGTTTGCTGCTAATGAGGATTGTTCCTGAGAAGGCCCTACACCAGTCTTGAGTAAGGTAATGTGCCCCTTTCAGCAGTGAACCTCATCTTGCAGCAATCTGCACCTCACCTAAAGATGCAGTGAAATGTCCAGAAATGCCTGTCCTTTAGGACATTTCTGAGATCAAAAGGAAGGAGAGGTGTGTCTTAAAACAGATGTCCTTCCCAGAAGTCCCCTTGCATGGAGAGCAAGGATGACATTTTATCCCTCATCCAGGCACCAGCTGTTTGGTACAGGATTATTTGGAGTACAGCATGAGAATTTATACTATAAATCTGTGAGCACGCTTTCTTATATTAGACAGCATGGAGCCCACAGTAGGTCCCCAGCAACTATGTATTGATTGTATTCAGACTACTGGAATTCTAAAATTCTTTTAGGTGGAATAGTTTGGTGTTGAAGGGGCAGTATTTTACGAGGCAATATTTTTGCATATGAAGAGCCCTCTCTTTTAATAGAAGTGACTGATAAGTACCTTTTTTCAAGAAGTCTTGAAGCAGGCTTATTGCAGCAGACCAAACATCTTGGGGGTGGATGTACAGAGAGACATCCAGAGCAGACCACCCCGTCCCATCCCCCGCCCCCAATACTTGCTTATATTCACCTGTGCTTGGGAGAGCCCTGTTTTAATGAGAATTATGAAAAATTATGTACATGGGTTTTTCAAAAACTTACTCTGGAAACTTAAAGACATTAGAGAGGGTGGTATAGTGAACTCTAGTGTGCCCATCACCCAACTTCAACTTTTATTAACACTTTGCCCCTCTTGGGTTCACAGTTTAAAGATTATCTTTTGGAGGAACATATCAGCTGATGCTTTTATTTCATTTTCATGAATATCTGTGCTGGCACATGGCTGAGCTGGCCCATGTTGGACTTTGGAACTTGAGGGAATCTTTCAGGTTCAGCCCTCTGAGAAGGGCTGGGTTCTGTGTGCACATAGCCAGATGACTGGGAAGTTAGCAGGGTTCTGGGCACCTCCGGGCTCCAGCCCACTGGTCCTCTGAAGTCCTCACATGCTGTGGAAGTTACCCTGTGTAGCAGAAGCTTGGCAAAGACTTACAAACGCCGGTGGACCAAAACCTCCAGTTTTGCTTGCTAGGAAATCTTCACTTTGTAGGCTTATAGGAAGCAGTACAAGTAAAATTTACTTCTTGAGATTGGCTTCTTGGAAGTCAGCCCTGTTTTGGACATTTTCTAGATTATCCATCATACTGAACTTTTTGAGGGTAGGTGCTACATTTGAACCCTCTCCCAGCTCAGCTGGTCTGTTAAGTGCCCCGAAGTGCAGGTTTAAAGTTGTCATTATAGGAAACAGCCACTGGGCGGCACAATTTTTCCACACCAAAGCTTTGGTTACTGAGGCCAACCAGAGCGTTAGCAAAGGTAGGTTCCTCGGTTGTAAATTGGAGAGTCCTGTGTCAGGATAAATATCCAGGATCTTGTAGCTTATCACCTCTCTCCCTTTGCACCCAACCCCCTAGACAAATCCCACTGCCTGCACAACCCCTATGCTGAAGGTGGTGCAACTCTAAGAAGGGATGCTGGGGTAGGAACCCCCAGTCTCCAGATGTCAAGACTAGTGGCTTTTCAAACCTCTTCCAGCCCAGAGGTTTTTTTAGGTTTGGTTTAGCTGTGGGAGGGCTCACCTGGATCTGGGATTGTGGTCCTATCCAGGTGGGACCAGGTACATCCCTCCATCCGTTCCTCAGCCCCAGGATGGTCCCAGCCTGGAGACCCTGCCTTCTCAGGCTCCAAGGATGTGACACCAGTGCAGGTAGGCATTTCTGCTAAGACATATGCCTAACAAGCAACTCCCTGTTTCAAAGCTGATTTCCAGGCTGCCAACGGGGACCCAGTCTGGGACCTGCCCACTAGGGATGATTCCCACTGGTCACTGGTTTTTCTTTCCAAAGGAGGGGCTGCAGAGGTACTTGTCCATGGCCTTAAGCTTTCAGAAGCTGTGCTCCAAGGAAAGGCAGCTGATGAGAGGAATGGCAGGGCCTGTTTTTCTGATTTCCTCTTCATCTTTTCTCCCTGCCCTCAGTGAACGACCTGAAGAATGCGGCCCCCTGTGCAGTCAGCTATCTGCTCTTTGACCACGATGACAAGGTCATGCGGCAGAACCTGGTGTATTACCAGTACCACAGGGACAAGTGGGGCCTCTTGGACGAGCATTTCCAGCCCAGACCCGTAAGGGCCATTGCATGAGGCGTGAGGTTTCTGTCCCCTTCATTCTTACTTTCAGGAGCTTGCTTTTGTACCTTAACAGAAGTTATCTCAGAAATGAAGGGAAGCTCATTTTTCCCTGTATTTTTTTGTCTTTTAACATTTCACTGCTTTATTCTGATTTCTAAATCAGTAAAAACCACAGAGTCTAAACATTATGGAAATATTTTACTTAGAAAGAGAAATTTCATCCTAATCTTGTAACTCCTGTTTACCCCGTGCCTTACAGCTATCCAGTTACTCATACATAAGCAGGCATGCATTCATTTTTACAGAAACAGGATCATACCTTACATACTGTTTTGCCACTTGCTTTGTCTTTCTAACAATTCATTGCAAACATTTTCCGTGTCATGCACACGTACCTACTTATTACTATTTTTTTAACAGCTCCCTGGTAGGCTCACTTATGGATGGACCATCATTTAATTCCCTTGATGGACAAACTCAGCTTTGCATGTGCTGTCAGGGAACTCCATAGATAGGTTACTTTCAAAGGATCTTTTCTGATTGATCTTTGCCCTTTGACTTCTATTTTCATTAGGATTTCCATACGCTGTCCCACTTTGCCGTACGTACATTTCCCTTTACACCTCACTCTGTTGCTGACACATGCACACACTCTCTCTCATTCACTTGGGGTTGGCCATTTTTTAAAAAAATTGAGGTCTAATCCATACACAATAAAATTCATACTTTGAATTGCACAGTTTAGTGGGTTTTACTACATTCCTTGAGCTGTGAGGCCATGACCACTATCTGATTTTGAACATTTTCATCACCCCCCCAAAGAAATCCATACCCCACTCCCCAGACTCTCTGTTGTAACATTAAAAGTTTGGTCATATAAACTGTTCTCCATGTCTGAACAGGAAGCCGTTCAGTTCTTTAACGTGACCACACTCCAGAAAGAGCTGTATGACTTTGCTAAGGAAAATATCATGGATGATGATGAGGTAAGTTTTCATGTTTAGCAGACGTCTGGCTAAGATAAAATGTTACTCACATCTATGCTAAAATCACTGGAAGGACGAGTATTCCTGAAATAAGAAATGGAACGGGACCTTGAGAGATACCCTTTCTGTGAGCATTTTAATGAATGCCAGAGCGTTGGTTCAGGGAGGAATGGCTTTGTGGGAAACTCAGGTTGCAGACCTTATTTCTGGCTAGGGAGTATGGAGTGATGCTCCCGAAATCTCTCACAGGAGTCCTCCAACCACTATTTCTTAGCTTTATAAAAACACAGGGCATTTTTCATTATTCAGCACTGTGCAAACACTTGGAACCCCACCCCCATCCTGATTTTTCTATGAGATGATTTATTTATTTATTTTATAAATTAGATCTTTGTTGTCCATTATTTTCTCATTCTCTGAGCTTGCTTGACATTCCTGATTCTCACTAGCAGACTCCTTTTCCATTGCTCCTGGGGCAGTCCTTTTGTGGTGGGGCAGCCTAGTCACAGAAAAGTCACAGCATTGGGGAAGTACGTAGACTTGATTTGGGACAAACTGAAACATTCTTTCTCAGACAGCGGGGGCCTCACCAGCCATTGGAGCTGGAAGGGAGCTGGTTCTGGCCTGACTCCTCACTTCACAGATGAAGAGCATGGGGGACAGGAAGGTTCTGCTAGCTGCTTGGCCAGACCCAAAGGCCCCGAGCCTCCAGGCCTGCTCTTTCCACTGCCCTGGTTTTCAGTGAATGCGTCTAAATAAGACCTTGCCATGGAATTTGTCTTCTGTGTATATGTTTGCATGGGAAGGAGGACCCATCATGGGATTAGCTATGTCCACCTCATGGGGTCGGGAGAATGAAATACTGTGTTGCACATGGAAGTGCTTTATGAACTAGAAAACAGTAAAAGCGGATAGATCATCATGTGTTGGGTTGTGATCCCTTGATGCCAAGCCTCAGGTAAGATCACAAGGAGGTCACTGGTCAGACACAAACGAGGTTGGCTACTGTGGTTTGGAAAGTGGAGAAAAATATATTTAGAAAAAGAGGGACCAGTTGAGTTTCTAATTATCCAGAGGTAAGTGACTATTGCTCATTTGGTATATATGCCACTTCTTTCTTTCTTTCTTTTTTTTTTTTTTTATTGAAGGGTAGTTGACACACAGTATTACTTTAGTTTCAGGTGTACAACACAGTGACTTAACATTTATATACATGATAATTCTAGGTACCAGCTATCACCATACCAAGTTGTTACAATATTTTGACTATATTCCTTATGCTATACATTACATCCCGGTTACTTATTTATTTTACAATTGGAAGTGTGTACTTTTTTTTTTTTGTGAGGGCATCTCTCATATTTATTGATCAAATGGTTGTTAACAACAATAAAATTCTGTATAGGGGAGTCAATGCTCAATGCACAATCATTAATCCACCCCAAGCCTAATTTTCGTCAGTCTCCAATCTTCTGAAGCATAACGAACAAGTTCTTACATGGAGAACAAATTCTTACATAGTGAATAAGTTACATGGTGAACAGTACAAGGGCAGTCATCACAGAAACTTTCGGTTTTGATCATGCATTATGAACTATAAACAATCAGTCCAAATATGAATATTCGTTTGATTTTTATACTTGATTTATATGTGGATACCACATTTCTCTCTTTATTATTATTATTTTTAATAAAATGCTGAAGTGGTAGGTAGATGCAAGATAAAGGTAGAAAACATAGTTTAGTGTTGTAAGAGAGCAAATGTAGATGATCAGGTGTGTGCCTGTAGACTATGTGTTAATCCAAGCTAGACAAGGGCAATAAAACATCCACGTATGCAGAAGATTTCTCTCAGAACAGGGGGGAGGGAGGTTCTAAGCCTCACCTCTGTTGATCCCCATTTTCTCACCTGATGGCCCTCCTGCGACTGTGCCTGTCTTAGGTTGTTCCTCCCTTGAGGAATCTTACCCGTCTCTGGCTAACCAGTCATCTTCCGGGTACATGCCACTTCTTTCTATGGCTTTTCCATTTGGCATTGTAATATGAAAGGTTTCCCTTGTTATGATTTTCTAGATCTAGCTTTACTGAAATATTCACATACCATGAAATTCTCCTTTCCAAAGTGTAGAGTTTAATAGTTTTAGTATATTCACAAAGTGGTGCATCCATCCCTACTATCTAAGAGCCCTTTCATCACCCCAAAAAGAAACCCCAAACCTATTAGTCACTTCCCATTCTGTGCCTGCCCCCCACTGCTCTCCCACCTCTCCTCTCAGCCTCTGGCACCTCCTCACCTACTTTCTATCTGTATGAACTTGCCTGTTCTAGGCATTTCATGTAAATGGGATGGGATGGTGTGTGGTTTTTTGTGACTGTCTTTCTTTCACAGAGCATAATGTTTTCAAGGTTCAACCATGTCATAACATGCATCATGTTACATGTAAAAATTCATTTTTATTGCTGAATAATATTCTACTATATGGATATACCGTATTTGTTTATCAATTCCTCTGTTGACAGATGTTTGAGTTGTTTCCACTTTTTGGCTGTTTTGAAAAATGATGCTCTTAACACCTGTGTACAAATTTTGTTTGGGCAAAAGTTTTCAATATACCCAGATGTATATACCTCGGAGTGGAATTGCTGAGTTATGTAGTAAATCTGTGGTTAACTTGTGGAGGAACTGCCAGATTGTTTTCCAAAGGGGCTGTACCATTTTGCATTCCCATCAGCAGTGTAGGAGCATTCCAGTTTGCGGCATCTCCATAAACACTTGATGATGTCATCTTTTTTGTCATAGCCATCTAGTGGGTGTGAAGTGGTATCTCACTGTGGTTTTGATGTTTGTTTCCCTAAAGACTAGTCATGTTGAACATCTTTTCATAGGCTTATTAGCTATTTGTATATCTTCTTTGGAGAAATATCTTGTCTAGTCCAATCCTTTACCCTATTTTAATAGGGTTATTTATCTTTTTATTGTTGAATTGTAAGAGTTCTTTGTATGTGTTGTAGTTATAAGTTCCCTGTCAGATATATGAATTGCAGGTGTTTTCTTGCAATGTATGGGTTGTCTTTTCATTTTCTTAATGGTGTCTTAAAGCATAAAATTTTAAGTTTTGATGAAATCCAATTTATCTATTTTTTGTTGTTGCTTGTGTTTTTGGTATCATATCTAAGAAACTATTGCCTAATCCAAAGTCACAAAAACTTCTGCATTTTCCTAAGATTTTTATGTTCAACACTTATATTTAGACCTATAATCTATTTCAAGTTAATTTTACATATGATGTGAAGTAGGGGCCCAACTTCATTCTTTTGGATGTGGATATGCATCCAAACTGGCTAGTGGGTATACAGTTGTCCCAGCACCATTTGTTGAAGAGACTTCTTTTCCCATGGAATTGCCTTTGCACCCTTATAGGAAATCAGTTGACTATAAATGTGAGGGTTTATTTCTGGATTCTCAGTTCTATTCCACCAATCTAGATTTATATTCTTACTCCAGCACCACACTGTCTTGAACACTGTTGCTTTCTACTACATCTTGAAATTGGAAGTGTGAGTCTTCCAACTTCATTCTTCTTTTTCTAGATTGTTTTGCCTATTCTGGAACCCTTGCATTTCCACATGAATTAAAGCATCAGCTTATCGATTTCCACAAAAGAAAGCTGGGATTTTTAATATCAATTATGCTGAATCTGAAGATTTCTTTAGATAGTGTTGACATCTTAACAACAGTAAGTCTAATGATCCATGAACATGAGATGTCTTTCCACTTATTTAGATATTTAATTTCCTTCAACAGTGTTTTCTTAAGTTTTGCTATTCTTGATGCTATTTCAAGTAAGATCGTTTTCTTATTTTTATTTTCTGGTTGTTCACTGCTAGTGTACAATAATACAATTGATGTTTGTATATTGATATGACAATCCTGCAAATCTATTGAACTTACTGGCCTTAATAGTTTTTTATGTGTATTCCTTAGGAGTTTCTATATATAAGATCATGTTATCTATAAATAGAGGTAGTTTTACTTCTTCTTTTCCAATCTGGATGTCTTTTATTTATTTATTTTTGCTAATTGCTGTGGCTAAAACCTTTAGGACAGTGTTGAATAGAAATGGAGAGAGTGGACATCCTTGTCTTGTTCCCAATCTTAGAATGAAACCATTCTGTGTCAGCATTGAGTATATTGTTAGCTATGTAGTATTTTTAGGTGCTCTTGTCAAGTTGAGGAAGTTCCCCTTGCATTCCTATTTGTTGAATGTTTTTATCATGAAGTGGTGTTGAAATTTGTCAAATGCTTTTTTTCCTGTATTTGTTGAGATGATTTTGTGGTTTTTGTTAACCTTGTTCGGTAATGTTCATTATAAACATGACTTTTTAATGACTCATGTTCCATGGTACGAATTTTTAAAATAAAGCTCTTTTTATAGGCATTTAGGTTGCTTCCAACTTTTTGCTTTTACAAGCAATGCAGCAGTGACTAAATCGGCTACCTCCTCTCTGGTCATTTCCTTAGTATAAATTCCCAGGGATGAAATTCTTGGGTCTAAGGCTATGAACACAGAAGACTTTTGATGTAAAAAAAAAAACAGTGTCATAGAAAAAATTCATACATTATCTGAACAAGAAGAGACCTTTTAGGAGATTCAGTAAAGCTCTCTCATGTTACAGACGAGAAAACAAATTCAGGAAAGGTAGAGTGGTGTGCTTACCTTTCAAGATAAAAGGACTCTGTTGAAGGTCCTGGAAGTAATTAGCTTATTAATTGAGGCTTTAGAATTGTGAAATAATTGATCCATCTCTAAAGAATGAGCTATTTTCTACATATCAAATTACAGCAAGTAATCATGAAACAAAATGTATTTTTTGTTTCTTTTCAATACAATAAAATTCTTAGTTTAATCTTTAAAATTTCCAAAGGACAAAATACTACTTTGACACAAATCATCAATACAACTTAGCTACTGATATTTGATAGCTAAGCTATCAAATAGCTTAGCTATTTGATATTAATATATATTGATAGTTCTTCTTTATCATCTCTCTGGGGTTGAAACGTATGGACGAGGACCTGAAAGTGTGCACACTGGTTGAAAATTTTGCAGAGGCCTATTAGAGTTTCAGACACTTTGGAACGCAGGCTGAAAATGCTTCATCTTTCAGGTTCTGAACATTGTGTGCTTTGGGAAAGTCTAAAAGAAGCAGGTAACTTGCTGGGGTTATTGATTGAAGGAGTGCTCTCGGGCAGGAAAGAAGTGAGGGACAGGGCTGGGGAAGGGGCTGTGAAATTTTGTGGTCTCAGGAGAGTCAAGCTGAGCTGATTCCGTGGGAGCTTGGGAGCAGGAGTTGTACCACAAGGCTCTTCCTGCCTTCTGTGCCACTCCTATGAGTCTCTTGTTGGTTGTTGACAGCCCTTGGAGGTTGGTGTAGACACGCCCTGGTGGAGCTGCTCCTTTTGGCCAAGGTCCATTGTCCAGAGATGGGGCAGCTAACAGCCATTAGCAAGGACACTCCCAGTGGCTGGGGGCAGGCTGCACAGAAGGTAGATCTGAGTGGGGCACCTGTAGCCTTACTACATCCTGATATGTATGGGGGATGTATTTCTTTCATCCATATTGCCGTGGGCACTTATTAGTCAGCTGAAGGCAAGTAATACCATCATCCGCAGGTCACAGCAGCCACACAGCAGGAAATAGTAACTCTGGGAACAGATATCATGGCCATACACCTAACCCCTCTACTACACTATGTTTTCTTTTTGGGGTCCAGAAAGCAACTGAAAACATTTTTTTTTAAGTAGTAGTCTTCTACTCCTGTAAATCTAGTCTCTAATCTCAGGCATGATATGGTATAAGTATTTGGTAAAAATCATAAGGCCTCATTTTGTGTCTCATATACTCTATAGATTTTCCATCTATGTGCAAATGCTGAGAGATTTAATGACTCTCTGTGTTAAAATATCGAAAGGAGCCAATAGGCTCTTGGCCTGGGGTAGTTAGCTCTGTGTGGGAGGCCAAGCTTCAGCAGGGGGTAGTCATCATCAGTGGGGCTGGCCTGACTGGCCTTCCTGGGGGGGTTGGCCTTGGTGATTCCCTGCATGCTTTGCAGTAAAGGGAGTGGGTGTCATCGGCCGGTGACCCAGGTGTGATCTGGAGAGAAATCAGTGCATAGAAGGAAATCAGCAAGTACATGGGCAGTTTCAGGTGGAGGCTTAAGACTGACTGCAGTAGGGGGAGCAGGTGGGGAGCAGGGAGACTTCTGTCTCCCTCTACTGACAGTGGGCAAGGGGGTTCCCTGTTCAGAAGTCTCTGTTTTAGGCGGAGTGACTGTCACGTCACAGCAGCAGTATCTGCGTGCCGCCCTTAGCAGGCTCACCGAGCACCTTGCTTGGGCCAGGCTCTGGAGATGAAGTATTGCCCAGGCCCTGGTCCTTGAAAAGCTGGTGGTCTGGCAGTCAGGGCAGAAAGGGAACAGGCAGGAAGTGTTCCTGGAAGATGACTGCTATTGGGGGGAAGGGGTGCAGGACAAGGGGGCACTGACAGGGCCTTTCAGAGGGTGGCTGGACTGCCCATGTCATACAGGCCCTCTGTGGGGGTTACCGAGCACTTGACTCCAGGTTCACATGGCGTGGAAGCCAGATCTGTTTCCAGGGAGAAGTCAGGGCCTGGGCCCAAGGGCGGTGCAGAAAGGCTGCTCCAGCCCCAGCAGGCAGTCAGCAGTGGCCTCCCAGAAACAGTCTCTGCTCCCCAGCATTTTTCAAGTCAGGCAGCCCACTTACCAGAGGTGTCATGTGGTCTCTTTCAGGGAGAGGTTGTGGAGTACGTGGATGACCTCTTGGATCTGGAAGAGACTGGCTAGTCCACAGCCGCCAGAGACTCCCCTCGCTGTGCAGGAAAATTCTTTGTGTTTCTTTACCCAGTAGCCCAAGTTATGGACACCTCAAGGCCTTCTCTTTACTCTGTGGAGTAAAAGGGGAGCCTCCATTTCTCACTACGTATAAGGTGTGAGCCAGCCTTCCCCCTGACCACATCTGCTTTCCCTGTGTTCACACCTGTCACCCCATGTTCACACCCACCTCCCCATCATCTCACCTGCCTTCTCCATGTTCATGCTGCCTTTCTTACCATTTTCGTTGGGAGAACAGTCTTCCAGAGTTTTTTTTGTTTCTTTTCAAGAGAATTAGTATTATTTTTTAAATAAGAAAAATACTCCTAAAAGGCGATGATTGTGAAAACCTACTTTGGCCTTTCTGTTCTTCCAGATATTAGTCTCCCTTGTCCCCAAGCCCTGATCCAGGAAAGGTGGTGGAGGACAAAGGCTAACTTTATCCACGCCCCATGATGGACTACCCATGGCCTGCCCTGCACCATTCTGGCACCCACTGAGAAAGAAGTTGGGTAGACATTGCAGAATACAGAAATGTGGCTTTTTCTAGCACTTTTGCAGTTCCAAAGTCTTACAATGGTGCTTGATCCCATTTGAGCACAGTACGCAGTTATACATCTTAGAGTTGGAAATGGAAGAACTCAGAGTCTAGTTTGGTTCATCGTTTCAATAAATATTTAATGAGCACCTACTATGTGCTAACCATTGACCTGGGCGCTGGCAATATTGCACAGAGTAACAGAAAAAAATTCCCTGCACTCCTGGAGCCTACATTCTATAAGGAGATACAGACAAGAAATAAACAAGAATAAATACATATAAGGTATCAAGGGTGATAATTGCTATGGAGAAAAATAAAGCAGAGAAGGGCTAAGGAAGCCTGGGGGTGAGGCTGAAGTTTTAAATAGGATGGTCAGGGAAGGCCTCACCAAGAAAGAGACATCAGAGCTGAGAGCTAAGGGAAGTAGGTCTCAAGGAAAAGCATTCCAGGCAGAGGGAACCGCACATGCAAAGCTTTATGGTGAGAACATGCTGTGGTCAAGGAACAGCAAGGCCAAGGAAAGGAGTGGTAAGGGGAAGAATGGAAGGAGATTAGGCTGGGAAGGCATAAGCATGTGGGGGTGGGAGAGGCCAGATGGCTTAGGACCTTATCAGCCAGTGTGAGGCCTTTGGCTTCTACTCTGAGTGAGGGGAAAGCCTTTGGAAGGTTTGAGTAAAAGAGTGCCTTAGTGATGTGTGTCACAGGGGTCACACTGGCTTCGTGTTGTGCAAAGCCCGAAAGTGAGCAAGGCTGGGTGCAGGGGTGACAGACAGGAGGCTGTGCAAAACTCCATGTGCAGGGAATGCTGGCTCGGACCTGCTGCATGGCAGCAATGGACGTGGTGAGAGGTGGTCAGACAGTAGGTTTATTTGAAAGCAGGGCCAGTAGGATTGTTGACAGACTGGATTTGGAGTGTTAGAGAAAGAGGGAGGTCATGGTGACCTCAAGGTCTCTGGCCTGAATGTAACGGAATTGCTGTTTACTGAGGTGGAGAAGATGGCAGGCTGTCTGAGGTTGGGATGGGAGATGTTGGCTGAAATAAAATGTGAGCATTTTCTCAGGTCAGATCTTCAGCAGAGCCTGAACAGGGATCCAGATGCATGTGGTTTATGGAGGGGGTACGTGCAGGGAAGCCTGGGAAGGCCCCTGCCAGGCAATGTCACAGAAGCAGGATGTGCCTTTGAAGGTGAACAGCTTGGTTAGTGAGGGATGCCCTCTGGGAAGGGGCACAGCCAGCAGGAGGCACAGTGAGGGACAGGGTGGGCCTGGGGCCAGCTCACAGTGCCCATGGCTGAGTCATCTGCACAAAAGTGGTGTTCACAGTCCCAAGGCTGGCTGGGGTCACAGATCCTATGTATATATTGGGAAGCAAGAGTGAGGGGCCACAGACAGGGTCCTGGGAAATGAGACACCAGAGCCTGAGAGAAGTTGCCCAGGAGGTGGGAGAGAACCAGGAGTGTGTGGTGCTCTGGGAGGGATCTGTGCTGTTGACTTGTCCCTCCTCCAATGGGCCACAGTCTAGTTGGGACCCTCTGAGGATGGGGCAACGGGGGCTGGCCCTGCTTTGGGCGCCAGGACTCCCACAGCAACGTGGAAAGGACTACAAGGAGATATGCAGGCTGGCGGGCTTCAGGTCCTAGCGAGTGACGAGGATACACTAGCTTATTTTTCCCAGGCTTCCTTAGGCCCTGGCTGGGCCTCCTCCCCAGAGCACTTCCTCTCTTCTTTGCCAAGGGCTCCTGCCAGGTCTCAGCTCCACATAGTCACCTGTACCTGCAATGGGCTGAACTTGCCTGCTTTGGGCAGCAGAGGCTGCACGGGGGTGGGGGTGGGGTCCCAGGGCACCACCCATGCCTGCACGTGTCCCTAAGGAGCCTTTTCTGGCCAACCAGCCAGTAGTCAGGTCCTGCATGGCTCCCCAGAAGGCTGCTTGCCCGTCCTTCCCTCACGTCCCTCTCCACCAGATAAACTTCCATTTGCAGGACTGTGAAGTAGGGGGACCCTGCCCCGGGGCGCCTGAGTCCAGGAGAGAGGTACCAGCAGCTCTTAGCTCCCCTCACAGTTCCTGGCTGCAGGCATCCCTCTGCCTGAGCAGGAAAATGAGGACTGCCCACACTCCGTCTCTGCGTGCCCTGCAGGCTTCCATTCGCTCCTCTTCCTGAGTCCTCTGGGGGCTTTTGTAGACGGTGGTGTTCCGCAGGGGCAGGTGGTGGCTGTGGCAGGGCCTCATTCACTCTGAACTTGGCTCTTTCCACAGGGGATTGAAAAGCACCTCCACTCCCATCCTAGCATGTCCCTTGAGGAAGAAACCCCAGACACAGTCTGATCAGCATTGCAGCACTTGGCTTTGATCCAAGGCTGTGGAACTGAGTCACTAATGTTTTTACTTCAGGGGAAACCAAACCAGTTTTAAACAACCACAAAAAGGTGAGGCGAGTCCTCCAAACCTGCCATGAACCTCCAGTGTGCAGGCTGCACTCAGTGACCTCAGCCCAGCACCTCCCTGACACCTCCCTGGACACGTCTCTTGGACGAGGCTAGGAGATTCCTGCCCTGAGACCTCATGGGTTCAGCATCAGTTGGCCTGTTTTTTGAAAAAACAAACACATTTGTAAGCTTTGCGGGAGTTTCCAGGTCCAGCCTCAGATGCCTTGCCTGCCCTCTGACCCACCTGCCTGCAACCCAGAGGTGGTTCTGTTTGGTTTTCTCAGGCTGGTCCAACGGGCGGCTGCTGGCCCCCAGGGTGTGGCCATGTGTCCACTCAGACAGCCCAGGCGGGGCCACCATCTGGGAAGGGTCTGCCATCCTTCCCCTTCGGCCGTCTGAGCCTGCAGGCTTTTCATTAGCAGTGAGGGACTGAGGGTGCGTACCCATGTGTAAAAGGAGCCGAGTGACTGAAATACCTCCCATTCCAACATATTCAACATACCAGTATCTTTCTGAGTTTTGAGATTTTGTAATTACTGCCACTAACCTAAACTCACCTCTGGGAAAACAGCAGGGTATGTTGACCACAGAGGCCACCTTAGGAAATGTTGCTTTTCTGAGTTCTTACTAAGGGAATTTTAAGAGCACAAAAATTGTATTGAAGCAAACTTGGTCGCAAACACAAAATGATCTGTTAGATTGTCAGTGGGAAAGGGTTTATTATGACTACTGGTGGAATAAACAGCGGCTGGTTTCTGCCAACATTTATGGAAATAGTGTTTTTAGTTTCAAATGTGAGCTATAAACCTAAGCTACTTCAACTTTTTTTTTTTTTGAATCAATACTTAAACTGTGGGGAAGAGCGGGACTTGTGCCAGAGAAAACATTCTCAGTTAATAGTGTTTGCACATGGAACTGCAATGCAGTTTGTTGCAAGGCCCCGAGAAAACCCCCAACCAATCCTTCATTGCAGCTGTCTGAACTCTTGATCTTCTGCCATCCTCCAAACAGTGACTTCTTTTTTCTGGTGATTCCAGGCTTGAATGACCTAGTGTGGAGAGTTTAAACTATATACAAGGCGGGGGGCAGGGGGAAGGAAAGGAACCTTAAATAAGCCTCAGCCAACGGTTTTGTGTATAGGACTTCCTGTGCCTGTAGCTAGGGGCAAGGCTGGGCCCCACCCTGTCCTGTGGCATCTCCCTTGAGAGGGAAGAGACGCTGATAGACCAGCTTTGCTCTGACTGACCCGCTCCTACCTCCAAATGAGAGTCAGGAGCGCCTGAGATTTATGCCACGGTACAGCTCTTCTCTCTGTAGAGTGGGCATGGGAGCGGCCCTACCTTAGCATCAGTCGCTGGCCTGCCCCAAATAGCTGCCTCTGGAGGGTTGTTGAATGAATGAGTGAGTCAGCTCATTTTCTGGGAGCTGATAGGGTAAGATACTGGTGCCCCGTTTTATAAGAAAAGGATAGGATGGAATCAAGCGATTTGGCCAAGAGATACAAGATCAATCCCAGAGGTTTATCACTTTAAGGTGGGGGTCAGTAGGCCAAACTATAAACATTGCTAATGTCTTTTCCACCTCCTTTCCTTGGGTTAGAGCAGTATGTACAATCTCACTTTTATGGGAAGTTAGAACTTGGGAATCATTGAAACAAAGATTTTAAAAAATGGTGATCTTAAATGTTTTATTTTGCTGATTCTCTACAGTTTTCTTTCACTACTGGATGTGACCATCTGAACCAGCCCCAGTCAGTTATAATCCACCCCTAGGGCACATGTCGTAATGAGCTTTGCTTCCTCAGGTCTGTGAGATTTCAGACTTCATCTAGTGAAGCGGAACCCTGGCCCCAAGGACTCTTGGATGGCACATAGCAGGACTTGGGGGGTCTTTGCTAGCCATGAGTGGGCCAAGGAGGTAGATATCCTACCTCTCCGCTAGGAAAAACATTTGGAATCCAGGACTTGCTTTGGATCTGATGAGCTGGTCCCTTGCTGCCAATGTCTTGACGAGTACAAAAATATTCACTGTTTCAAACAAGGACCAGAAACCTCTTCAGGCCTGACTGCCAGCAAGCTGCCATGCTCCATGCATGTTGCTGCAGAGCGAGGAGAAAGAGAAAAGGGTTCAGGGAAGCAGCTGGAAAGAGTGAGGGACAACTGGAGCCACAGCAGGGGCTTGTGGAATGAGGAGCTCAAAAACATCAGCGGTTTGAGGAGGTGGAGGACAGGGGGATTTTGTTGAAGTCAGCCCAAGAGTTCTGGAGGGAGCCGTGTGAAGGTCCGGATGGCGACGGAGACTGAGTGGAGATGCAGGGAATGAGTTTGCATGTTTTGAATGTCTTGGGTCCGGGTCCCTTGGAGCAAAGCAGGGTGTAAGTGATGGTGTGCTCTGCAGAGTAGGGGTGAGGGAAGCAGGAAGGAGCTATCAAGGGTGAGGCCTCCCTGGAGACCAGCCTCAGCCTGACCCCACAGGAGCTCTGGAGCAGGAATTACACTGCACAGTGGTCCCACCTGGAGGCAGGGAGGCTGGCCCTCTGTATGCCTGAGTCTTAGTCCCAGGCTGCAGGATAGAGGATGCTCCTGGTGAGGGAACTAACTCCCAAGTGGCAGGGTGCGTTTGTGCATTTTGAGCATTTTTGCAGCCAGTGTTCAGGGCAGCCTGAGGATAGGATCATTGGCCTAGAGCAGGGGATCTGGCTGGCCACCAGCAGTGTCCACAAC